ATAAAAAGAAAAAGGTATCGTAATAAAAAGTATCTTCGCTATAAAGCCTTAGCTTCTTTGTGATTAATCACTTAATAGTAATTCAATTATTAATTAATATTAGATTGCTTTTAAGCGATTAAGAATATATATTCGTAAGGTCGTAACGGTCGTTAAAGTACTTGCAATTGCAAAACACTCGGTTGATAAAGTATTTGAATTCTATTTGCTCTTTAAGGCTTAAAGAAGCTGATTCCTTTTATACGATTAGAAGGAATCACGTGCATTAGCTAACTAATAGATTTACTTGTCAAGTTAGAGGTCCTTTGACTGCTAACATGCTAAGCGAAGCATGCCAAGTGGCCCGTAAACCATGGTTCACGGGTAAGCTTCCTTAACTACTACTACTACTACTACTACTAGCTAAGGTCGATATGGATATACCGACAGAACGATTTGCATAAGTTCGTAGCTTTAAAAAGAGTTATGCTAATAAAGCTATAAAAGCGATGAAAATAAAGATAAACGGTAATGCGAAGCAGTTCTAGCTATTATTTCGCATCGAACTTAAAACTTTGCAAAAGCGTTTTTATAATATTTTAAAGTGTTCGTTCGATCTTTTCGGCAGCTTTATTTATTTATAGATTATGCAAAACAATAAGTTTAAATCGAACGCTTATCTCGGCTAAGTGTTTTTAAAAACGTTAAGAAACGTATTCGCTTTTATTATCGATACGAAAACGTATGATCTTTTTTCGACGAAAAGCTTAAAAGAGTTTGAATTTATCGAATACTTTAAACTTATACTTTATATTATAGCACTCGACCTCTTTTATTTTATCGTAATAAAAGTAAATAAAATAAGTAAAGCCGTCGTACTTTTTGCGAAAAAGTTTAATAGTATTTATATAAATAAGCTCGTCGGAATACCGTTTTAAATTGATATGTCTTTTATATGCTTTTTTAATCATTCGACCGTCGAAGCAGCTTTCGCAAGCGTATAAAAGAAAAAGTATGCGTAAGTTTATATCTTTTAATAGTTTTTGCATTTTTAATAAGTTTTCTTATCCGAGATATTTAAAACGCTTATGCTAAATAGCTTAAGCTTTTTTAATAAAAAAAGCGGCTAAAGCTCGATATTAAGATCGTTATTAAAAAGAATTTAAAATATCGAAAGTCGAAGCTAATTAAAAAAAGTAAGCGTAGCGTCGTTAGCTAAAATCGAAAGCCTTATATATATAACTTAAGCGAAGAGCTCGGTTTATAAGCTAGCGCAGATCGATATTAAAGCAAAACAAGTCTTAAGCGATCCGAGCGGTGAAAACTAAAAAGTTTTTGCTTAATAAAAAGATCAAAGCACTTTTCTCGCTTAAAGTTATATTTATACTTTTTCGAATAAGATTTAAACAAAAGAAAAAGTTAATATTAAAGTTCGGATAATAAATAACGTTATATAAACGAATCTAATCGAAGCTATTATCGTTCGTTTTAACGAGTAAAGCAACTATGCTTTTTTTTTAAAGTAAAAGTAAATAACCTTTTATTTTAAAGATAATAATTGCTTCGCTTAAATCGAGTGAAAAGATATTTTCGAAAAACTCTTAACGGTGAAATATATACTTAATACAGCTATTATTAAAGATAAAAGTGTTTTCGAATATATCCGAAAATTAAAAAGCGAAAGCGTATAAAGTTTTTTAAAAGAATTAAAAAGAAAAATTCTTAAGGAAAGCTTTAATAAAAAGTGCGGCGTATTAAGGTAAAAGAGAAAAAAGATAAAAGAACACTGCTACGGCGATAAGCCGTCGTATTTTCTAAAGAATAAAAAAGAAAAGTAAAAAATAAAGTAAAAAAGTAAAGATTATAAAAAGAATAAAAATTATTTAATACTTAAGAATAAAAGTAGTACTCGATAATAAAGTCCGAAGCTTTCGAAGACGCTGCTTTAATTGAAAATTGCGAAAAAGGTCAAGTCGAAAAAAAGAATAATACTTTTAAATTAGTTTTAATTAAAATAATTTATTTCGAGCAAATTTTAATTGCTAATTTATATTAAAATTTTGAACGTTAAAAGCGAGTTAAAAGGTCTTATTAATATAGCTACGAATCGATAATATAAAAAGAGCAGCGGAAAGAGTCTTTTCGAAAGAGTCGGTATTTTTAGCCGTCTTTAGTTTAGCTTGCTTAACAGCTTTATTTTTACGCTTTTTTTCGATTCGTTTATCGAAAGCAGCTTTTAAATAAAAGTAAGCTATTATGCATTTCGGCTTAAAATGATAAGGTTTCTTATAATAACTATAAACTATAATAAACTTATTTCTTTTTGCAAATTTACTAAGTTTTTTATATACGAAAAATGCTTTACTTAAAAAATGCTGCATCAACTATTCTTTTTTACGAGTAAAAGCTATAAAATCAGCGAAAGCAGTTTTAGATTTATCGCCGTCGATATAATCGTTATTCGAGACTTAATTAGATTTGAAATTTTCGTACGAAAACGATAGCTAATTAAAATAAACTTTAATTATTTATAAAGCGGAAAGTTAAGTATTATTATCGAAAAGCTTAAGTTGTTTGTTTAAGCGTATGAATTCGTTATTAAAAAAGATGACGTCGTTAAACTCGTTAATGCGAAAAGCGAATAACGCGAATTAAAAATAATAAAACGTCGCGACGCTTTTAAATCGAAATCGTTTTTTTAAATCTATTAATAATAGCTTCTTAAGATCGTGTTTTTTAAAGTCTCCGACGATTATAAAGCTTATTTCTTTTCTTTTAACGAAGTCTACGGCGATTAGCCCGAGTCTATTGCGGATAAAAAAGCAGCTTTAAGTCTAAAGTTCGTCTTACGCGTCGAGTCTTTTCTTAAACGCAAACTCCGTCTCGCTTAAAAAGCGAATTGATCGGACTCTTATACTTTTAAGGATTTTTTCGTAAAAGTAGTTTTTATTAATAAAAGCGAAATCGATACGTCGAAAAAATTCGACTTAGTTTTCTTCGTCGAAGAACGAAACGGCAAAGAAAGCGGAGAAAGAAATAGATTAAGTATTCGTAGCTATTCTTAAAAATCGAAGTCTTAATAAGCTTAATAAAATCCTTAACGTTAACTAATAATGCCGAAGTGATATTATCGAAATATTTTTATAAATAATAAAAGAGTTCTTTAACTCGGAAGCCGAAAAGTAGAATAAATAAAAAAAAGCAAAAGGGCTTTTCGTCCGAAGCCGATAAAAAAGAAGTGTTTAAGTTTGATTCGATATTAAAAAGTTAAAAATCAAGATTAAAGTTACGATCTTTAGCAAAATCGAAAGATTAAAAAAAAGTGTTGATAAGTGTTTATATATAGTTTATAAAAAAATCAAAGCGGTAAAAGAAAATAAAGTTAAAAGGTTAAAAGATTTTACGAATTTTCGTTTTTTTTAATAATACGAAAGTATCGTCCGTAAGAAAAGCTTTTTTTAAAGTTTTTCGAAGTTCTTAATTGATTAAGCTATTTATAGCGTCTTGATCTATAATTAGTTTGCGATAAAATAAATAAAATTAAAAATAAGATAAAGAATCTATTAAAATTATTCGAGTTTTATTTTATCGTAAAAGTTAAAGCGCGCTAACGTAATGCGGTTAAGTCGTTTAAAACATAATAGTCTTAATAAAAGAGTTTTCGGTTGATGCTAAATATAAGTAAAGTATATATATAAAATGGATCTATAAGAAATTAAATCCCGAAAGATTAAGGTTCATTTCGGCGTATTCCGTCGAAAAGTTTATAAATATATATATATATATATATAGACCTTAAAAAAACATTATTATTTAAAATAAGTTACTATTAAAGTGTTTCTAAAAACAAAAGGTCGTATGTTTTTAAAAAGAGATATAAAAAGTTAGCGATAAACGCAAGCAATAAAAAGAAAGAGTTGTATATATCGTTAAAGAATAGTTTTAAAAAAGAATATCGTATTCCGTTCCGTTTTGATTTTATCTTTGCGAAAAGTTCGATGCTAAAAAAGTCGCAAAGAGTATTAGTTGGATGCTAAGGAAGTCGCAAAGAGAATTAATTGTAGTATTTCAGCGCTAAAGAAGTCGCAGCGGAAGCTTATAACCTGTTAAACGGTAACACGAAGAAGAAGATAAGTAAAAAGATTCTTGATTGCTTATTTAATAAACTTAAGGAGTAGCCTTTTACTTATACATCTGAAGAGGTCTTGACACGTGATAGGTCTATCACCTGATCATATCCGACATATACCTCTTTCCAAATTCATTACCATCACCTATTTAAAGCGCCGGCGAAAACCTCATCTTTCTTCTCTTCTCATCTTCTCATCAACAAGCTAAAATTAGACGCAGGCCTTGGAGTAAGTATCCCAATCTCCTTCCATCTCCATCATGACCCATCCTCGTACCCCATCCTCATCAGCGAGTAAGCAAGTAAGCACCTTCGAAAAAGTGGGCTTCGCTTTCCAACCTGCCCTACAGAGTCCAAAAAACACAGAATAAACTCCCTACATTTCTGGCCAAGCTCTTAGAACATTGCCTTGCGCTTCTTCTTCCTTCCTCCTTCCTCCTTCTCCACGGCGGCGAAGTCCCCAACCAACACCATCAGAAAAGAAATAGGAAAAGCCTTCTGCTTATCATTAGAGAAAGTATAGGAACCACAAGCAAGGGCGATAATACATAATGTAATCAATTGATCGATTCCTTGACACCAGTTCTCGATGCTTGATCAATTCAAGCTCTCACTCACCTCACTCTTCTCACGCCTTCTTTCTCTCCCTCTTTCCTCCCTTCTTTCTCTCTCTCCCTCTCCTACTACATACAGAACTCTCAAAAGCGTACAGTGCAGTACAGTACAGTACAGCTGCACGGGTAAGTACAAAATAGCGAGCGATGCACCAGCCAGGCCAGGCCAGATCAGGCCAGACCCACACATATCTCTTATTCAAGTCTTGATTACTCTGCTGCGCTGGGCTTGTCAGGACTCCGCAGTATACTTCAATACTCCGTACAATGACGAAAAGATGTATCATAAATATAAATATGATGAGCTCCCCGTGCACAGCGGGCAAGAGAGCAAGTAGGTGAGTAGGTAGCTTAGCTTAGCTCGCGCCGTCTCTTCTCGTAGTAGTCTCCAGCTTCATTCTTTCATAGCGTGTTATCAATCATCATCAATCATTGTTAATAATTATGATCCTCCTATCCCTTCTCCCATCCCTTCCCCTTCCACCTCCAACTTCCTCCTCCAGCGCCTGCTAATCCTAATCCTAGTCCTCGCCCAACTCCTAATCAAAAATGCAGCATGCAATAATCATCCCCCTCCACTCTCCATTCCTGTTTTCATTCTCATTTTCATCCTCAGCACTTCATCGCATTCAAAAGCCCCTTCACCGCCGAGCGAAGCGGCATTCAAATCATCAACGTCGTCTACGAGCAACCAGTCCACGGCGAGTTGACCCTGACTTTTGAATCATGCACCGCAGTCTCGTCGTAGTCGTCGTCGTCATCGTCGTCTCTTAGCGAAGAGGTGCACAACCACCTCCACCACCACTACGTCGTCGGCCAGACGCACATCGGAAGCCATCTCCTAGCCAAACGCCACAGAGACTGGGCGGAGCGCCGACCGACCAATTTAGTGTGGCTGGTACCGAGCGACGTTCGCGAGGGGAGGTGTATACAAGCCTGCATCGACGACAAGCTCGTGGGTCGATCGGAGGAGTCCGGTGTTACGAAGAAGCGTGTCGTCGTCAACAAGCGAGCAGCAGCCGCCGCGGCGACCACCACGTTTGCCGAAGTTTCGGACCCGATGGGCCCGTGGTTCGATGGGGTCCGTTATCTGGAGCGGAAGCAGAAGTAGCCGGGTAGGGGAGGTCTTTGTCGCGTCGGTTAAATCGAAGAGGTTCGGTATCTTGGGCGCTGGCATCTCGGGCTTGCACACTTCTGTAAGTTGGACGGCTATATGTACAAAGGCCTACCTACCGAATGAACGAACGAATGAACGAACGAATCAATGAGTAACTGAATGAATGAGTGACTGAATGAATGAGTGACTGGCTGAATAGGTGGGGTGAGATTACAACTTGCTGACAGCCACAAAGCTGCTGCTTGACGCAGTCGGCATCCACAATTGGACCATCCTCGAGTCTTCAAACCGGCTCGGTGGCCGAGTTCGCACCAGCTATCTCAACGGGACAAGACCAGACGAATACCAATTCTCGGAGGCTGTGGAAACGTAGACACCCCCGGCATTGGATCGATCTGCTATCCCTCCTACGGGACCAACGGAACAGGGCCAGCAGTTATCATGGCGTTCTACGTTTCGTCAGCACTGTGCAACACATCGCCTACGTCCAGCGGGCAATAATCGAGATCCACGAACCGAAAGCGGATGAGATGTGGACGAGGCACTACGATATTCATTGTTGAGAGCATGACGAGCATCAGCAAGTCAGTCCATACCAGCTGGGCGGAGTTCTTGAACTTCTGATCCTTCACATACAGGAAAGATTTCTGGACTGGCTGGCAAACAATGACTCCTTCGTGCCTTTCCAGTGCTGCATCCTGGGCGCTCTCCACCGTGCGGCAGAAGCAGCTCTACTTACCGGCGTGTTGGCGGACCGAGTTTAACACGATCTTTATCGGGGAGCAGACCTCATGCACCCACTCGTGAATCTTCAGTGCGCTTGAGTACTCTGTTGGACCTGGGTCTGGTTGACGAGGCGAAGCTGATCACGAATGCTTGGATGGCGCGGTGGATTAATCTGTAGGGACAAGAATTGCAGCATAAGCTAAACTTGTAAGCTAAACTTGACTTGACTTGAGAGTGCCTAGCTGTAATGATTGAGGAGAAGTAAAAGAAATCTTGGATATATCAGTAAAAGTTGTTGTTGCGTGGTATTGCTGGGCCGTTAGGTAGGTCAGGTACCTTAGGTAGGTAGGTGATGGACCCACCCGCCTCTAAGCGAGCTCACCGGGAAGGAGGGAAGGAGCGAATCCCCAGTTCCTTCTGTGAGGTCAACCAAAGCACAGGGAGGTCACCTCACGGCAAGGTGATCTTATCCATATTACTGTGCTCATTGGATACATATCATAGAATACTGCTTATGCAATCGGAGTAAATTCTCCTGATGTGGAATCACCTTTCCAGCCTTGAAAAGCAATAGTCAACAAAGAGCAAAAAGGAAAAAGCTCTCTGATTCACCAAGTACTGGCCACGCACCACAACCACACTAGTTCCTCAATTCACTCATCGACCCGTAAATCAGGTCAATGGAAGCCTTCAAGGCTGTTCCTTGGCGAACGTAGCCTTTCTTTCGCGCCGACTCCAATTCCTCAATTCTTCTCTCTTACACCAACATCAACCACCTCAATATGACCGACATGTCGGCCACTACTCCGACGGAGGACGACAGCGAGATTCTAGAGCTATGGGATTTCGGACCACAGAAGAGGGAGGCCCAAGTCTACAAGCCATCCTTATACGAGGACGCCGAGGAGCAAATGGCGAAGAAAGACTGGGCTGACGTCTACCGTCCTCGCCGTCCTCGCTCAGAGATCAAAAAGCTCCGGCCTGTACCTAGCTTCCAAGGTGAGTTCCTGCTTGGAGACCTCGAGATATTCTATGCTAACTGCGATCCCCGCTCCCTCAATACCGAACTGCTTCGTCGACCTCCCGCAACCTGAGACCCAGCCATCCCCGACGCTGCGCAAGTCGATGATATCAGAGGAAGTAGAGAGAGCAATGGCTCCTCTTGGACTCGCGAGGACTTTCCCCATTTCCCGTGCCCATCCCAATCTCGGAGAAGTCACCGGGGAGAAGTGGGTGTATGGAGGCAATCCCTTTGCCGAGATGCTCGCAGCCCGAACGCCACTCGAGAACCCCAACGACCTCTCGCAGCTCCGAGACATCCCCAAGAAGAAGGCGAAGAAGCTGAACGAGGCGGGAGAAGAAGATGAGGAGGAGGAGGAGGAGGAGGAGGAGGAGGGGGCCGAGGGCGATTTCATTCTCACCAGTACCACGCCGGATCTGGTGACGATCTTTGACTGCAAACCATATGCCGGACCTCTCAACACTCACCAGCAACCAAAGTGGTTCCAAATCGAGGAACGCATACTCATGGCCGCCCCCAACATCTTCCGCCAGGCCCTCGCCTCCAAGAAGAAAGCCGACCGACAGGACCTTGCCCGGGCCGTCTACAACCCTGACACGGCAAAAGTGTTCAACCCGCACATCCCCCACACGGCCATCTACCTGCAGAGCCTCCTGGTGACCAGACTCGCGCAGAACTCGGAGGGCTTCCACTGCCTGGAGGATCTGGACACCGCGCAGATCTGGACCGGGGTCTTGTTCTGGGGCTACTTCCAGACGCACGGCCGCACCTTTCCCGCGAAAAGCACGGAGGAGATCATCGTGTGTGCGATGCTGGTCGGCTTGTTCCTGGGAGATGACGCCTATTATGGGACGGTGCTGAGGATGGTTCTCGATCGTCGCTACGCAGAGGTTTGGCCTCGCGTCCACGATCTCGTCACCGCGTCGCTGCCTGACCCTGCTGACCCTGTTTGAGAAGGACTGTATCTGTATTCCCTGACAATTGTTGTTGTTGTTGTTGTTGCGGTTGTTATGGGGAGACGGCCTTTAGGGTCCGGCATATAATAGGGCAGAGAAGTGAAATGGAGTGAGCGAACGATACATTCTAGGGTGGCTTTTTCTTTTGTTTAGGAAAGTACGCGGAAGGCAGATAGATAGATGGATGGATCAATGAATGGATTTTTGTTTTCATCTTTCTTTCGAGATCTCTGACGGAATAGAAGGTGATGCCGGCTTGCTCTGTTTTCATATGACTTGGAGGTTTAGTGATGTCGGTGGAACGTAAAAATATTAAGATAAGAGAAGATTGATCTCCTATCGAACGTACAGAAGGGGGATTTAAGAGATAAAAGAAAGATCCTGTTTCGGAATACGTACAAACTTTTAATATCTGTCACTTTGATCAGGCAGACTGCCATCCATCCAGTTCAGATATTCCGTACTCCGTATGTCGGTCGTCAAAAGAAGCTCGAAGCAAAGGCAGGGACTCGGGCAGAGTCTCATCACGTGATGACGTGGCGGTGGCGATGGCACAATTATAATCTAATCTTATCTCCGACGTTTTCACTTACTACCCCGCCATCGCATCGCTTCGCACTCCAAGGGAAAAAAAAAGAGTTTGATAACTTTGTATACGCCTTCACACATACGCCCTCTCTCCTTTCACGTCCCATCTACAACCTCACTACACCACCACACCGAGCCCGAAGCTACTAAACTCTTACACTCACACCTCTGACCTGCCAAGAGGAAGTTCGCAAGTGACCATAAAATATACCACCGCCGAACTACCGCCAAACAAACGCAAACAAACAGACAAACAAACCATGAAGCTCCTCACCCTCAACTTCCTCACCTGCGCCGTCAAAGCCTGCAAAGCAAGCTCGGCCTCCTTCCCGCTGCACCCCAAGGACTGCGAGCTCGTCTCGGACGACAGCATAGCGCCGAACCCGCGACTGCTGAGCAACATCCTGCCGCGACTGGACTGGGCTGCGCTGGGCGTGATTGCGTCGGAGGTGGGTTCTTTTTCTTATTTCTCTTCCCTTCCTATTTCTTCCCTCCATGTTCTTCCCTTCCTTCTCTTCCCTTCCTTCTCTTCCCTTCCAA